CAGTCCATGTTGCCTTGAAATCCTCGTTCAAATTCTTCTGTAATCCTTCCTTCTCAGCCATCAGAGACAGATCAAAGCTAGGTGTAAAGCTCTTAATTCCTTCAAGAACTCCCCACAGACAGCGCCAAAATGATGGGTCTCCTCTCAGATCTGGAGTGAACCGGTGGAAAATCGCCCAGATCTGGAATGAACCGATGGGAATGAGCTCGGATCTAACTCGATAACCTTCGGATCGTTGTTGACCCACGAGTAAACCTGCAAGAACTCAACGCCGGAGGGTTTTCCGGCGTAGATCCGACGCTCAATTCAGTATGTGAAAGATATGAAGGAAACTGCCCTCAGAGCAGCCGCAGTGATGGAAGAAAGTATAGAATGAATGGGAGTTAGGATTTTGGGGTTACCTTAGCTCCTTTATATAGAAGTAAAATTGTAACACCCCGAGTTTATTAATAAAAGAAAATACTAGCTTTTAAATTTTTAAGCTAGCCTTTGTTAATGAATAATCATGTTCATGTTCAAGTTCAGGTTAATCAGCTAGTTTTATTCCAAGTTCGACTATTAGTCGATAAATTATTCGGTTTAATTATTTCAGTAACCGAATAAGTTTCCAGATTTAATTCTGATTTGTTTATTAAACTAATGAGTTCGGAATTAATAAGTTAAGTTGAGAAATTATCCGAAATATCGATATTCGGATTAATCGTCCAAGTCATGAATATTTGAATTAATTTTTGAATATCACGTTTATGTTCGGAACTACTTATTTCAGTCAAGATTCTTTGAAATTATTTTCGAAGTCATGTTTACGTGCAGATTAATTTTAGTATTTAATACCAAGTTAATCAAATAAATCATGTGTTATCAAATAATTAAGCATGTTATTGTGCTTAATTAATAGCCTAATCATGCTTAAACTCATTATCCAGGTCAAATAATTTCAATAGTGCCGTGAGAAATTGTTTGGAATTCATGAACAATTATCATTTATCTAAGTCATGAATATTGCCCAAATTATGTCCAATTTTCTCCAAAAACCGTGAGCAATTAGTGGGGAAATTCAATGTAATGGTCATCACTTAGCAAGCATGAGGTGTCCTCTCTTAAGGCATCAAATTGGTGACTAATCATAGTTAAGTTGTAACGCCCAGATTTTTATTTACTATTTATGGAGCTCGACTATATTTCCATAAATATTAAGTTTCTAAATTTGATGCATTTATTATATTTATTTGCATTAAATTAAATAATTAGTGTCAAAGTCTAAGCCAAGAATAATTCTTTCGACTTTAATTATTAAAGTTAGAATTTTATTTAAGTGATCCGAAGCCGGATAATTTGATTATTCAAGCCGAACTAATTTTCGAGCGAATTCAAATAATTTTAGTTGGCCCTTTTTAATTCGAGTAGTCGAATTAATATTCAAGACCAAGCGATATTTTAAATATCG